TGCCAAAGTTGCTGGCCCACTTATGGTTTGGTTAATTTTCAATCCTGTTATATATGTGGCTCCTATTTTAGCTGTACCATACCAATACTTATGTAAACATGCTTGACGAGGTGTTTCCTGTATATATGCGTATTTGCCATTTGTTACCTCCATAGTATGAAAGTGCATTCCACATCTTTCCACGATACGGTCTATTTCCATCTTGCATTGTCTTACCATTACAAAATGAAAACCATTAGCTTGTAATAGTTGGAGTTTTAACTTCGTGGAATTGACTTTTTGTGGTCGTATGTCACATTCTTCAATAGTTAAAAGTGATACAGTGGTGATGTTTGAAAAAGCAGAGCCACAGTCATATTCGATTATTCCCTTGCCAACCGGAAGATGTAGTAGGTATAGAAAGAAGCTGAATCTGCGATACATCTGAAAGTTATAATTACTTGAGTAATGAGTGTTGAAAATTTTCCAGGTGTTTCAACTTGCTTTTGGAGTTGGGGTAATATAAGAGATTCGAAGTCTGTTCGGATGTACGATACGACTGTTTTTCTCCAGTTTGATTTTGATATTGTTTCTATTTACTATTTCTAATACTTCGTACGGGCCCGTATATTGATCTCCAAATTTTCCAGGTTTGGATCCTTTTAACAAAAATACCTGATCTCCGGGTTTAAATATCTGGGGATTAATTTTTTATCGTAACGAATTTTTGTTTTTTCTTTGGCTTCTACTAAATTATTATTTGCTCTTGTTTGAATTTGATGTAATCTAGTAAATATAATTGTATCAGATAATTGTCGTATGTCTTAATTTCGTTGTCTTCAAGTAGTGGTTCGTTTGAAGGTATTCGTGCAGGCCTCCCGAAAACTAATTCGTATGGCGTATGTTTAGTTCCTTCATGTATGCTAGTGTTATAATTTTGAATAGCTAAGTCTACCCATTCGTCCCATTCTTTTTCGTCGCTGGCGTATTGTTTCAGGTATTCTCTCAATGCGTGATGAGATCTTTCGAGTGAGCCGTTTGATTGAGGATGAAAGGCGGTGGTGCGAAATTTTCATATTCTGTAGTATCTGGCCAATTTTCTCATTAAATCACTAATGAAGTTTCTGCCTTGATCCATAAGTACAGCCTTGGGTGGTCCAAAAATGGTGATAAATCTTTTCACAAATTTGTCAGCTATTGTAGCAGCGGTTTGGTCAGTTAGCGGCACAGCTAGGCAGAATTTGTTTAATTGATCTTACATTGTGAATATATATTCGTTACCTGTTTTAGTACGAGGCAGCGGTCCTACGATATCCATTGCTATTTTGTCGAATGTCCATCCTGGGTCGGTTATTATCATGGGTTGTTTTGTCTTTACTCGAACCAATTTCTTTAATTGACACTGCAAGCATTGTTGAATGTATCATCGGATTTCTTCTTTCATGTTCTCCCAGTAGTAATTTTGGCGGATTCGGTTGTAAGTCTTGGTTACTCCTCTATGTCCTCCCACTGGAGTGCAATGCATCTCTTGGAGTATAGCTTCTTGTGCACCTTTTGGCGGATATTTGATTAGCCCTTTACAAATAATTATTCTTGTGTTGGAGCCTGAAAATGCAATTTGAAATTTTGTTTTAATGTCATTCCAAGGTACATTTAATGTGTTCATTTACAGCGATACTGATGCTCGCAAGATTCAATTTTTCAGTTATTTTCCGTAAGTTGATAGCTGCTTTGCTTATGTTGGTTAATATTATTGTCGGTCCTTCGGTCAGATCTTCGCTGATGGGGAGAATGATGTGATATCGTTCAGTCTTCTTTATTAATTTAGGTACGCTAACCGATAAATCTGCCAATTTCGGTATTTCTTGTCTCTCGAATAACTTTTTAGCACCGGCATCGATAGGATTTCCTGAGATATCTGTAAAATATAGCAAATTATCTCTGCGTAAAAAATGGGCATCTCTAGACTCAATTAAATTTTTCCTTTTGGCTTAGAGGTTGGTGTCCTGCGAATTTTTTGGAATAATAGTAGTATGTGGGAAGGTATGGCCCGTCAAAACATTCCCCCTCCACTCAACCCACCGGCGTCGACGGGTCGAGTGGAGGGGGAATGGTTTGACGGGCCATACCTCCCCACAGGCAAAAACTAATTGACTTTTGAAATAAGCAAATTATGGCCGACATTATTAGAGGAGTTGGCAATTCTGGCTCTTGATCAACTACTTAATTTGCATATTGCATTTGCGGAAAAACTTTGTGGAGCTTTGCTGGACTCGAACCTGGAACCTCTGGTCTTGAGTCACGCGTCTTACCACTACGCTACTGCTATACCCTGATGGGAACTAGTTATATAGCCTACATATGGAAAGTATCGACGTCACAAGTTTCGAAAAACCCTGTAAGGCCCTCTGTTGGATTCGAACCGGGGACCTCTGGCTCTCGAGTCAAATCGTTTTACCACCGTACTACTGCTGCTCTCTGGTAGAAACAGACTTTACGACGTAGTCGTATAACGGGCTGAGATGTGCGTGTGTGTGTGTGTGTATGTGTGTGTGTGTGTGTGTGTGTGTGTGTGCGTGGTCATCCCCACATGTATGTTCTCTGGAAAAATCCTGTAGAGGTCCTCCTCGGATTCGAAGAGTCCGTTGGCTTTTGAGTCAAGCGTCTTATACGCTACGCTATTGCTATATTCTGAAGAAAACTAGATATATTGTATACATACGTAGAGTATTGACGTCACGCGTGGAAAATTTCGAAAATTCTAAGCCCTACGGACTCGTGGCTCTGAAGCCCCAGCTCTTGAGGCGTGCGAGCGTGCGTGCACATGTTCGAGCAGCTAAGGATAATTTCGAAGATAAAAACTACTCAGCGATTGTTAGAAGACGATACCTCCGCTCTATGTCTATCTCAATATTTTTACCTGTGTGTGTGTGTCCCTTCGCTTCCAAACTAGAAAAGTTTACAACAGATCTTGTTACCACAAATTGGAGATCACAGGGAAGAGAGAAGAGGCGGAAAGAAAGGAATATACAAAATTTCTATACAATAAATTCACATTTTATTCTTATACATTTTTCTAATACAGGATTGAACCTGGTATATAGGGATATGATGATGATCTAGTGATTTACGGTTACATTGACAAAAGATTTTTTTATACATTCGTACAATTAGTTGATCGTTTCGTTCGCAATCATTGGTAAACAAATTTTTAAAGGTATTGAGGTTATAACCCCTGCACATAAAATAAAGAAAAACACAACAATGATGGCCATAAGTCGTCGATAAGAGACCCTGTAACTGAGAGGTATTCCATCGGTAAGTGGCGGAATTTCTTCTAAGACGCAGGAGAAATTGTGAGTCCCAGGGCAGCATTCCGTAACTGTCAAAGTACGTAGCTGCTCCAGGCTGATCGATGTAGAATGCGACCCAGTGCCGTCCTGGACGGTTATGATTGTCCGTATTAGCGACTATTGCCGTCGATCTCGTCCACACCCTCGGTAGTCTGTCGGCTGGATAGACGCCTGTGTATCTGGCGTTGAGATGTTGCAGAGCATGTTGAATTTCGAGCGAATTCATTTTATATAATTTCGTTTTACCTCTGGTAAAGTGATTGTTATAGTCCTCGACGGTTCGACTGAATGTTCCAACTCGGTATTTGTTTCGTTTTCCTCTTCTTCAGTCGATGACTCTTCACTTCCCGATTTGTAGGAATAGCTATTTTTGCTCTCTTCCTCGTCAATTTTGGAGGACAAGCACTGAGTCGCACAGACGTTATCACGTTTCCCGATGTTGATTTGGCTTTGTTCGATGTACCAGTGTTTCAATTTGTATGCGTTGCGTAATGCACAGTGATAACGACCGTGTTTTCTAAATGCGTGGAATGAGCAAGCTTCTACACGCTCGCTGGATGAAAGATCATTGGACATCGGCGAGATATTCTCCAGATTATACACGTTTCGGGCTAGTAAATTTTGCAAGTAGCTCGCTTTTTCCTCATCCTTTGTCATGAAGTCACGAATATGACTCGTAATTTCACGCAACCGCGGATAAAAATATTTCGGATTACTCTCCCCGTCATACCACTCGATACCATGATAATTCCGCGAAAGCCAGTTATTTATACGCCTTCATTTTTCATTCAATCCCGCAAATGAATGCTCTGGAGCTAAGATCCAATGACCGACGAATGCTTTATTAATACCGATAATAGCCATCTCCTTGAGCACGTAGACATCGCTGCTATCGCGGAAACGTTGTACTTCGATAATGACATCCATGTTCCCTCTGTATACGCAATTCTGTTTCCCCCGAAACTATACTTTTCACACCTCGAAATCGACTGGACTCTTTTCTCAAAACTTTTACTCAGGAGGACTAAGATGTTGAAAATCTTTACATTGGAAGGGGAATGACGTCGAAAAGAAAAGTGGGGGACTCGTTTTAACCGCTATAATCTACAATGACTTGACGAGAAGAATCTATTTCCAGCACGCTTTCAAATTCAGCGTAAACTAAGCAGTTGTTGTGAGAGCTTTTTCGAATCGTACTTTCATTCGCAAACTACCATGTTTCACAAGGTTCCATTGAGTTGCACAATTAGCCGATAGATCAGGAGTGAGATCGAAGCCGAAAAGAATATAACCAGCAGGATAATCTTCTCTGGATATAGAATTAGTTTCATTCAAAAAGTGAATACCCGTTCCCGAAAAAAGGGTGTGATACGCCTCGGCGTAGAGCATCTCGTTACCAGAGAATTTCGGCTCTAACGGCCTGCTAGGGATTTGAGTTCCATCGACATACAGAGAAAAGAAATTTATTCCATAATGTTGGAAATTGAACGGATTTAAATGGCGGGCGCCGTTAAATGCTTTGTTATCGACAAAACCGACAATTATACGCTTCGGTATTTGTCCAAGAATGACGTTGTCCAATGTTTCTCTTACGACGCCACTATGAATCGTGAATGATTTAATTTCGACTCTTGTGAGCGGGTATTTAGCAGTAGTCCTGGTCAACATTTATGTATGAGCGAGTAATATGCCTGGATTTATTCTAGCTCTTCTGATGAGTAATGTAGCATCCAAAACGCTTATCCGTGACATAGTATTTCCTTCCATAAGACAGAAGGAATCTTTCGAACGAACAAGCCTCATGCGCACTTCGACACCGTTGATCAAGAATTTATCTTGATTGAAGACGTCGCAGTGAAGATGACCTATGAGATCCAGTGTTCGTCCTCCTTGTATAAAATCGGCTCGCTTGTCAAGTCCGTGATTGCATGGTGTCGCTACCGGTAGAGCGTCCATGTTTTCCGCCGTATCGTTGTACCACAGGCACGAAGCCAGGTGGGAGATTTTTACTGGTGAAGCATAATTTAATAACGCCTCTATGTAAGCGCGGTAAGTATAAGCATTGTTTGGAGGAGACACGAACTTTTGGTTGAAATATACGTCGATTTGATTGAACATCGAATGCAGTATATGGTTTACTGGGCCTACTTTTGCGCCTGCGGCTCCTGCTCCGGTTTCCGTTTCTACTCGTATGCGTAGCGACAGTATGGTGTGAGCAAGATCTATGTATTCTTCTCCATGCCCGGGTACGACGAATTCGATGGGCGCGTCGTCCGTGAGAGAAGACACGGGTTTGTAGTGAATCCATTGTAAACTCTCAATGCTGGTTTGTATAGGCGGCAGGGTGAAAAGATCGAGTTCACTCTTTAAACATTCACTGGAATGCGTATGAAGAAAGGACATGCTTCGAAAGCACGCATCTGTTGTTGATGTTTAGGAAAAAATGTCTGACACGGTACGCTTCTTGATAACTCTCCGACGTTTAGCAAGGCCTCTCCCGCTTTTCTTCACTGAACGCTTCTTCGCCGGCTTCTTCGTTAGCTTCTTACTCCGTTTTTTCCCCTGTATGTTTCTTCGAGTCGCTTTCCTCTTACTTGATTTAGAAGCGCTGACTAGACGTTTGGGTGCAGGTGATTTGCCGTTGTATCCGCTTAGCGTGACGAAAGGAAACTGAGCTTTTCCGATGTTCGCAGGAGTTTTATATCCAGATCCCTCCATCAGTTTGTTAATGTGTTCTTCCGCTCTTCTTTTGAGATTTGAGCTTGATTCCTTGAGGCGTGTTTTAACAGCTGCTTTCAACGGCGTGTTATTCTCCACATCATCGAGTATATTAATCCCTGCGCGTAGAGCTTCTTTTCTAACGACACGCGCACCACTGGCCAGATAAGGTAACACACGCCTGAACAGACCAAGAAAACTACCGATACCATGGCCACGCTGATACTGCGATCCTACAAAAACTCGCGGAATTTCACCGCTGCGACCTCCCCCGGATTGCGCTTCGTAATACACTGAATAATGCGCCATATCGTGCTAATGACGACATTAAATGTAACTGTCAACGTCCCAAATTCAAATGGTATTCTTTCGCCAACCAGATCTCTTATATCTATTTCGATCGTACGAAAACATGTTAATCGCAATGGAATATAATTCGGAGGTGGAAAATGCTTCATCATGTTACGGTCGTAGGCATATTTACAATCGTTGTATTCGACGGGGACTACACGGAGAAGAGGAAAATACACGTCTCCCGTTATATAGGACTCACAAATGTCGCAATAAACAAAGAGTTTATCGGGTATACCCCGCACCGTACTAGCTGGTTCGTCGGACATAAGTTCACGTTTCAACGTGATAAAAGAGTAAAACCTTCCTTTTCCAACTTTCTGGGGATTTGCATTACGATCAGTATTGGGATGGTACGCTATATGCCCCTGCATAATTTTCGGCAAGTCGAGATGAATGAATTCATCGTTCGGCCTATACATATCGAAGCCGAGCATACGAGCCACTTTGTCGGAAAACTTTACGAAATGAAGACTACTGCATTCTTTAATATCACATGTGCAGTACACCGCTACTTTACCACCCGATGAAGATCCTGGCGCCAGGCAATGTGCGTTTTGAGTAATGAGCTAGCATTGTTTAAAGACTGTAGCAGTGCGCTCAGCGTGGTGTAAACACCGGAGGTTATGTGGGTAAACCTAAATTTGGGTAGATGGTCGTCGCCTTTTATAATGACTGATTTGGCGTTTTTGGTATTAATATTTTCACGCGGCAATAAAATGAATACGAGTCCTGTATCTTCTTCGGGGCGCACGTGTAAAAAACTAAAGGGGAATTGAATTTCGGTAAGCGCAACTTTCCATAAGCCAGTCAGCTTCACTTCTTGAGGCAATTCCGTAATAAATGAAGTAGTTGTATTTTCGGGATAGTATCGCATGCTACTATTGCTCGGTAGTATCATGAGAAACTGGTTTTCCCCCATCATGGTTTGGAAGCAGCTTTATATTCGAAGCAGCTATCCAGGAATTGAATTTAGAAGGGTAACCCCGCCAGCTGACGAAAAATTCTTTATTAGCTCCTCGTCCTCGGCGTCGTATCACCTTATCCACAATAAATTCTTCTTCTTGTAAGTTTTTGTTTACCCCGGCTAGTTCTTGTTCGTAGAATATCCTATCGATCACTTCATCTTACAGATCACTCAATTCGTATACACGAAAATTTCGGCATTCGAGAATACGGTGAATCCGAAATATTTCTTTCGTCCAGTTCGCCTCATATCCTTTCTCAAAGACTCCTTTCGCTCTACTGATTCGCACTAATATACCCACTTTGTATTTAGCTCCTCGACTATGATTTCTTCGATCGAGTTTATCGAGATGATGGTATCGCTGTTGTATATGTTCATGAGCGATGCGCACATTTTCCAACGTGATGCTTGCCGGTTCCATTTTAATGGTTGAATGTCGTGTGTGATTGTAAGCGTGCACGATGCCCTGCAAAACATCTATGTAGCGATGTGTATTTTTGTGTGTGAAATAACGCCATAAACGTTCTTTGAGCGTTCTGTTGAAGTGTTCGATCGCCGTTGCTTTGACATCAGGATTTCGTACTGTGCGAAAACTTATGTTCTTTTCCTTCAGAAATTTTTGAAATGTTTGCCCGATGAATTCTTTACCCTTGTCACTCTGCAACCACACCGGTACTCGCCCTCTGCTTCTTAAGAGCACGCGACGAAAAGCTTCCGTCACACTGTCCGAAGTCTTACTTCGTATTGGTTCTATCTAGACAAATTTGCTAAGCACATCGATGATTGTCAACAAGTAACAATAGCCCTCATTGTAATTTCGGAGATTAGCGAGTTCAACCAAATCAGCCTCCCACAGATCGTCGATACTCGTGACGTTGTAATGCAAACGTGGAAATTTATGCCGTGCCGGTCGATGAAGTGTATATGCATCCTGCGCCTGAAGCCAACGAATAATCTCTTCACGCGTGGTGCCAGATCCTGCTGCTCGCGAAAGATTTTTTATCGTAGAGTATCCCGCATAGTGTGCAGGATCGTAGTAGAATTTTGTGAGGTCAGTCATTCCAATTGATCAAACGTCTTTTACCCGCTGATTTAGAAGCGTTGTCGTTCACTCGTGTTTTACGCCTATATTGATCGGAAGTTATAAATGTCGCGTGTACACGCTCTGCGTCGCGGTCTTCAGCGAGAGACGTGCCTCCGATAGTACGTTTGCACGTTCGTCCTTTCGCTGGACGTCCTTTCGGGGAAGTCGATGTGCATGGCTGTTAGTCGGCGAAGAAGCTATACTCAATTCTAACGGGCTCCAATCTATCACGCGTCTTTTACTCGTTGGGTTTAGAAGTGTCACCGCTCATTCGCGTTTATTTCTATTCTCATTGGTTGTTACAAACAGAGCCGTCCATCCTCGTGATCTTTTTCCTCAAGCGACGTCTGGGCAATCTTACGTTATAGACCAAAGCTGCTCGTTAGGTGATGGAAGCGGAGTGCTGCTACTTCGGAAGAGTTTTCTTCAATCTCGCGGAAAGATCACTTTCCGTGTCTTCCTTCCAGTAATTCTCGATTTCTACAAATTCCACCCACTTCACGCAAAGCGTGCAAACTGTACTCTCGCTACGCTCTGCTGGTTTTTCGTTCACGGCCACGTCGTGTTAAGAGGTCGATGATATTCGATCCTCTCAGATTCTATCATCTATTGTCACGACTCCTTGTGTCCCAGCTTAATCGTCCGGGCACCGCCGCATCACACAAATGTGCCACAGCTTGCGCGCTTTAGCTCGGTAATTCTTTGGCACTTTATTCATATTCTTCCGATACTTTTCTGTTCGTTTGGTGCGGTGGTGACGACTACGTGTATCGGCTCGTGCGTGTTGAGAAACGTTTAACGTTCGATGTACTCCGGTCTCTATATTGGGAATATCTTCATTTGCATCTATACCTGCGTTTTCT